CCCTGCCAGTCGGTACAGGGCACGGGCCACCACGGTGGCCACTTCTGCCAGGGACTGCAAAGGAAAAGTTCCATGGTCAGCAGGATGGGCAGACCCACCAAAACAAGCAAGGAGAGCAGGGCAGGCCCCACACACCCAGCAAACACCCTCCCCCTGCTGCTGTCCCAAAACGTTTGGCCCCACACAAAGCATTCCCACCTTCTTCCTGCCCCTTTTTACCCACCCCCCCCTTCTCCCCATGATCCTGCTTCTACCTGCCCCTCCCCACAGCTCCACCCACAGCAGGTGAAGAAAAGGCAAAGCAGGAACCTTGGCTGTGTCTGTGACATATTCCAAGGTTTCCTCAGGGCTCAGCCCCTCAGGATACTGCATCTGGATGTTCTCTGGGGTGTCATACATGCTCTGGTAGTATCTGCAAAGGAAGAGGGACATGGAGGTTGGGGAGGGGGGCAGAAAGAAACCACAGGGCATGGCATTCAATTCAGAGTCTGCCTCAAGCCAAGAGTGGGAGCAGGAGCCTCCTGGGAGTAGAGAGGCAGCCCTGCCAAAGCACTGCCCTGCCACACGCTCCTTAAACCATTTAATGAGGCTTTCTAATTAACTTGGCCCTTCCACAGCTTCTCCCATCTGAGGATCTCCAAGCAATTTGCAAGCTGTGATTAGCTTTCAGGTGGGCACCAGCCCAATCTATTAAATGAGAGGAGAAACTGAGGCAAGGACAACCCGTGCAGGAGGTCTCCTGGGAGGAGGGCTTTTTGATGCAAGCTGTGCCAGTGGGTTTGATTAATGCCTCATCTTGGAGCTGGTGTGGAATTCCAAGTGAACTCCAGGACAGATTTACACCCAGGCATCTGCAGCACAGGCAGCTGAACTAACTGGGAGTTGGGCTGAAATCCCAGAGCATGGTCCCCTTGCTCCTGATGCTCCCAAACAACCTGGGAGTGATCCCAGGGTACAAAGAGGGGTCACACAGGAGTGAATTTCCACCCCAGTTCCCCTTCCCAGCACTGAGCTGTGCTTCCTCCCCTACCAGCTCCTTTTCCTTCTTCCTCCACTGACTTGTGCTTCCTCCCATCCCAGCTCCTCTTCCTCCCATCCCAGCTCCTCTTT